TGAAACAAGAAACAAATGTCATCTTTAATCACACAGGCATTCTTTGCTTGCGCACTGAGCTGAGTTTGTTCAGTCTTGGTCCTTTCGCAACTCAGCCTTCACCCCTGCTTGAGAGGCAAGGCATAGCTAGCTTCTCGGCCGCAGAGAAGTACGTACTTCCCATAGGCTGAGCCCAGCGAAGCATTATGGACCTGACGGCTCCTTACTGAAAATACAGAGGGAGAAGGCAGTTTCAGCCTGGCATTTCTGACTGAGGGGGCGGTGGGGAGAGCAAACACAAGGAAGTAAAGGCTTCCTTTTTCTACCTGAATCAAACAGCTGGTGAGGAAGTGACTTTATTTCCCTCGTTATCATTGGGTTGACAGGATATCCTCTTGAGCCACATTGTATTGAATGAAGAGCCAGTGAGACTTCCATTTTACTGAACGGGAATTGCCTTGCGGCTTTTTTACGCTGCCCTCTCTGTGACTCCAAAACAAACAAACAAACACATACTAACTCACGGCTTTTGAAGAAACCTGCACAGGTCTGAACGAGGTGGCTTTGCCACCCGGTACGGGGCAGGAGAGGGAATGGCATAAGCTCCGATGCCAAGGTTTAGCAGCTGAATGACTTTTCCCTCACCCCTGCCTCCATACGAATGACATAAATTCTCATAAAAGCTTTCGTTCCCAAATGGTAACTCATTGCAGAAAGAGTTTGGGGAGGGAGGGAGGGAGCAGAGAGAGCTGGTTAAGTCGTCCCATGTTTTCTATGCAGTGAAACCTCATTAAAATGTCATCTTGAAGCTAACGAGAAAAGTTCTTGGAACACAAAAAATAGACAAATCTGTAGCTGTTCTTTTCCCAAAGAGTTTATGGGTCTTTTATGCAAGCCTGAGTCGTGAGTACATGCAAATAAGGACAGCTCAGATCTTGACTGTGTGGTGCTGAGGTGTGGTGTTTCGTGAGGTCGGTATCTTTAGAGGCCGATATCTTTTTAAGCCTGGGAGTGCCGACATGCTGGCAGTCCAGCCAGGTGCACGTTCTCGAATTATAATGGGAAGGAAAAGAAGGTGTCATCACATAAGCCCTGCTGACCACGGGTGGGGAACCTGCCTGGGGAGTGGCTTTGGCACATGCACCCCTGAGCAAATCCCCATCCAGATTTCCCCCCCCTCACCTTTGGGTCTATTCTGAATTCTCTGTTTCCACAATGCCCAATATAGTCTTAGGTCTGCAGCTGATGTGTTAGTTGCTAGCTGCATAACCCTTTTGTTTCTCCAGTGATAT